TAGTCCTGGCTTAAGCTAAGCCTCGTTTGTGAAACCGGGCCTATATCTCTCAATTGACTCTCACAATTGATTTTTCTTAATTGTGAGTTAATGTTTCACAACTATGACTTTATCTGTAATACTTGTGACTTTAAAAACTTTATATCTTGCAATTGTGACTTTATTTCTTGCAACTTTAATTCTAGCAATCAGGGCACATGACATTTCTTATTTTAAAAGTTTTGTCGCAATCAATGTCATTTAACAACTGGGATATACTATTATAATAGTTTTATTAATATTTTGAACATGTTTTTATTTATTTTCATTTTAATTTCAGTTAAAGTTTTAGTTGTTTTTTGTCTTTCTTGTCTATATTTATTAACTTTTATATCAGTTATTGTTATTTTAGTACAAAAATATTTCCATTTTTAGTTAACATTTCTTTTATTACAAGTAACAAAAACATTATTTATGCTTTTTCTGTTCCTTTTTGGTCACAATTACCGACGATTAAATGTAGCAGTTTATTTTGCCGTGCATTTAGCTGTTACATGAGGCAACAGGCTTGTGTAACAAAGCTACATTAGACATTCTCTGTAGGAAACAAGCATGAAAATAATACAACACAAAGATAATGAATCAGTTATACACCTAATTTGCATCCATATTCGCTCTTTATGTTGTTGTATCCTGCCTTTGTTGTAAAGTAAATTAGAAAGTAATACGATATGGATTTTTCTCAATGTGTCAATTGTGTTCTGAAAAAGAAAAAATATATATAACTTTTTATTTTTTACTGGTTATTGCATGAGAGTTTTATTGGTTATTGCATGAGAAATTCTTTGTAAAAGTTCACCTTCTAGATATAAATGATGACAGGCATGACAACTACACCCTTTCTTTCACAAACATTTCACAAACAACACCTCTAACAGTAAGGAACTCCAACCTGTTGTGTCACTGTGATACCTCTAAGGGGTAGAACGCGGCATGTGCCACGGCCCCTGACACACAGCCCAGTCCAAACCTTTGATGGACCGACAGACTGTCCCTCTCGCCAAGCGTGTACATCCTCATCTGTAAGGACAGTGAGATAAAGAATTCATGTTTGAACATTTGTGTTCATATGAGCGAATGTGTGTGTGTTTGTGGGCACACCTGGGCATAGATGAAGCACTGAAGCGTTGATTGTGGTGTTCCTTTAAGAACATTCACAGCATTTCCTTGCCACAAGGATCTAAAACCTCCAGTCTGCAGCTCTCGGAATCCCAGAGACACAGCTTTGGATCCAAAAACCTGTTTAGCATATTGCACTGTTCAGGCTATTATTGTCAGATCAGACACTCACAGTTTTACAAATTAAATATATTGTGATTACTCACAATTGAATTGAAATACAAATTCTTTCTAAGCTAAAGAATTGCTCTGACTGTACTTGAGACTTTTGATTTGAAAGATCTAACAAAATTCAAAAT